GAGCGTTCTATTAAACTAGAGCAGTGGCCAATATGATAATAATAGAATTTGAAATTACCTTATCAATTGCTTTAATAAAAACTATATATAATTCACCACTCGAACGCACTGCGGTTCGAAACTAGTAGAGCTTTTCTCAGTATATTCACGTGAGTAACCCGCGATATATAGTTCATTCACCACTCATTAAAAAAAAAATAGTTTTTATTTATTAACACTATTAATTGACACTTACAAAAAACACTATAAATCACCACAAACTTCACTAAATAAATCGATTTAAAATTGTATGTCTGTTTGTGTACATCGGTGTTTACGTTAGAGGGATGGTGATTGAGTGACTCTTGCGCACGCTGGATGGGGATGGAAGGGGCGGCGCGGCGGGGCGCGGGGCACGCCCCTAACATTGCCCATTTAAAGCCTATTCATACATTCAAACGATTAATGCGTTTATTTATTAATGAAGTGGGTGACAAATACACTCCACTTTTTTCTATAATGGTGAAATAATTGAGGTGATTAAGTACTGCTTAAAAAATAATCTTATGTGTTACCATAGCAGAGTGGTGTTTGTCTTACATTTTACTGTTAACTAACTAAAGTTTAGTATGAAATGTCTAGTTTTCCACACTAATATGATTCTAAGAAATACGATTGTGTAGTAGGTAGGTAGGAAAATCAATCAAATGGTGCTACTTCGACTGAAGGTAAGTACTTACAAGCTTTATGATCAATCGCATTGCAAATTGTCAGTAAAGACCTCGCTCATAATCCACCAGTTCAGTGTTCCCCAAAGATTTTAGAGTGCATTTATTAAAGTAATTAAATAAAAGGTTTCATATTAAATTCGGTGTCTTGAAGGTGAAGTACGTCGATAGAGAATGTAAGGATTTCTTTATACCAAGCAGTAATATTGTATCCCTGTATTTTATTTTAATGATTCGGTATCGATTCACGATTTGGGAAACGCTGGACTAATGCAAGGGGCAGGCTAAAGGGCCAAAGACTGTTAGTACTTCAACGTCATACTTAACTAGCTACTTCCGCGCGATTTCACACGCTCTGCTCAGCTCCTATTGGTCGTAGCGTGATGTTTTATAGCCTATAGTCATCCTCGATAATTGCGCTATCCAACACAAAAAGAATTATTCAAATCAAACTTGAAGTTCCAGAGATTAGCGCGTTCAAACAAACAAACAAAAAAACAAACTCTTCCGCTTTATATAATAGTATAAGATAAGATTAGATAAAACCATGAAGTGCTTTATTTTTAGTACTTTTACATCAACGAGCACAAGAGAGATGCTAAGACGCAACTCAACACCGGGCATCAACAATTAAAACTTACTACTTTGTTTCTCAAGTACTAACTAGAACATTGTTCACCTCAGACTCTCATGAAATGTAAAAAACAAATAACTTGCAAACATTTTCCCATGAAAAAACAGAAGTCATTGTTCAAAATAACTTTTAATTATAAAAAAAACTTAGGTACCTTAGTAAGGAATGCAATCGAGCAGAGGGATCACCTGATGGTAAAACGATCAGCGACGCCCATGTCCACATGTAACACCAAAGGCGCATGTAGCACCTTAAGTAGTACGATTTATTTTACGTTTAAAGTAATCGAAACGCGACTGCGTTCGGCGCTCTGATTGTTTGTTTAGGAAACAGATAGTATAGTTCCCTAAAACCGGAAAAGGAGACTCCTTCGACCAAGCAAGATGATCTTGTTGTCCGTTGGGATTTTCTATCCGTGTTAACGCACATGTAAAGTTTACATGTGCGATGTAGGATTTTTGTGACGTCATCCGTTGATTTGTTGTGGCCAGTTTTAAAATTAAAAGTTCAATTTCAGTAAATTGACCTCCCATTACGAAAGGATTTAATATAAAGTTCACCAAAATAATAAACGTTCACGTACACAACTGCTGAAAACGCACATTGCGTTCTTCTTAGTTGTTCTCTTCATTACTGAAGTTCATGTCTACTCTATTGGTTGATGCACTACCCTCCACCAAACGCCCTCGTCTTCTGCAGTCTTTATGGCTTGTGAAACTGTCAGGCTGGTGAGGTTTTTTACAGCATCTAGCCACCGGGTAGGTGACCGACCACGAGGTCTTTTCCCGTTAACCCGACCAACAACACAAGCTTCTCCAGATTGTTGGGGTCTCTACGCGCACATTGCGTATAACTTAATCCGAAAAAACTATATTTTGATACGAAAATGAATTTACAATTGAATCGACTGAAACGCGTTCTACTATTTGAAGTGATTACCTTGTAATCCGATTAAGCAATGGATTAGTTGCTTTCAATTTGACTAAAAGCCTGCATACTACCGAAAATATTTTTTGAGTACCTACTATGAACTGCCGAAGTTAATAATCGATATCCATTTTTGACATAGTATTAGTAGTACTTGGTTTTAAAAAAAATCTCAGTAGTAGCACGGAGTCTGGAATTGTGCCCGGTATATGGCAATAGGCTTACCCCCTATTACATGGGACTCATAACATAAATAGTGAAAGGTGGGTGTACATTGTACATTGTACAGTGGTATAATGTGCACCTCTGCCTACCCCTTCGGGGATAAAAGGCGTGATGTTATGTTATATTATTTTTGACATAACTTTCATGGAGTTTCTAACAAAAGTGTAAATAGATCTTGAAAATTTACATTAAAAGCTGATATTGTTTAATTTTGGGCGTATGAGTACTAAGTATATGTACCTAACTTTGTAAGGACATGGTTGCAGGGATCAGGGTTGCTTACCTTTAAAAACAACTTAGGACTGTATTACAACTGCTTCGTTGGCCGAGTGGTCGCCAGTGAAAGGGTCTCGGGTTTGATTCCCGGTTCGAGCAAAGGATTACTGTATTTTAAAAAAAAATCTCAGTAGTAGTACGGAATCTGGAATTCTGCCCGGTATATGGCAATAGGCTAACTCCCTATAACATGGGACTCATAACACAAATAGTGAAAACTAAGTGTTGCATTGTACAGTGACACTAAGTGCCGTAATGTGCACTTCTGCCAACCCTTTTCGGGGTTAAAGGCGTGGTGTTATATGTGTACAAACTTAAAAAATATGCTGTTTAATGACTTTCATAATTCGTCACATGTATTTATTTTCATAAAAAAATCAAGTAAAAATAGACATGCATATTTTAATTGGTAGCTCTAAATGTTATTAAATCCATTGTGAGGTGGACAAATTAAACGTGGACAAAGGATACAAGCATAATATGCTTGCAAGAACATAATTTTTAAAGAAATAAGTATATGACTGACGGACAAAAGAGAGCGCTAGCTTTTTAAACTTTGTATTTAAATATAACACGGTGACAATAAATCTGACGTATTTTACCAAAGTTAAAAGTTAATTTTTTTTATTAAAGTTAAACCAAAGTTAAAATTACAGTTGCTCCTCAGAAAGATATTTGTCCCCAAGGTAAAACATATCCTATAAATGCTGTTGCTATTAATAAAAATAAAATAATTACTCCAATTATTCATGTATATTTTAAATTGAATGATTCATAATAAATAACCTCGTCCAATATCTAAATAAATACAAATAAAAAAAAGATACCCCATTAGCATGTAATGTGCGAATTAATCATCCGTAATTTACATTTCGGCAAATGTAATTAATCTTGAGTGGTGCTTAAAAGACATAATACACTAACAAACACGGCTCCAGCACGACTTCGACACAACTGCGGTAAGGCGTTATTTACTTATTTGCTTTGGAAACAATACAGAACGGTTGCAAGCATGCATAGGTTTATGAGCATAGCTTTTTTATATTGACGTTATGAAATATGCCATATAACATAAGATGTAATGTTGAAATTTAAATGACAAGTTAATTGCTAAATCTTTTAACTATCATCTGTACACTTAGTTGCGATACACGCTTTGACTTTGACTTTTCTGGGTGGGAGCCGTGCCGGTTAAATGTTTATGACCTTCGTCCTTTATAGACGACAAATGACCGTGTTAATTTTATGCGAATAGAAATAAGGACTTTATCATCAACAGGTATAATAGAAAAATAAAATAGAAACAATAAAAAAAACTTTGATAGCATAACTAAGGTATGTTTTTAAAATAACTATCGTGAGACATACTAAATTAACTAAAAATCGCGGGTTATTCACGTGAATATACTAAGAAAAGCTCTACTAATTTCGAACCACAGTGGGGTTCTTCCTCATGAGCAGCGTGCGCCGCTCGCGGCGATGTCGCGCAGCCTACGATGATTATGAATATATGAGTTATTTATTTACAATGTTAAGTAATTTACCGTACTTAATATTGACTGTGAAATGCCCAACATTAAGCGGTCAAACTGTATTATTGTCGAAATACGAAAGCATTTGAACATTCAAAGTTATTTACAAGTAACACTCGAGGAATTCTCTCTGATCTAAACTTTAAATTTGTAAGCAGTTAAAACTTAAAATAAGAATTTATAATAGTTTTAAATATTAAAACATCAGTTACAAATCGTGAAATTGGTATCAACTCGCCGAAAATTGCAGGAAAAATTGAACTTGAATATAATTTTTTTATATCGTAATGTCTATTAAAAAAGGTATGTATTTGTTACTTACTCTTAATTTAGAAAAAGTTATTAACTTGAAGATAAAATAATCAAAGTAATTGTGCTAAAAACTACACAATACAATTAAAATTCGCAGCGTTTGTAATTAAATTGAATTTAAACTGTTTAAATAATATTCTATGTACCATTTACAAACTTTTAAAGCGCGATAAAGTCCGTGATAAGTCAAAAAAATACTAACGACATTCATTGTCCAAAAAAAATTACTGTTACAAATTACACCTTTCATTAATAAAATCATTGAAGAAGACACAAGACTCATAAACTATAATTTTATATATCACCGATTAACAAAAAAATAATAAAATTGCTATAAAAAGGGTTAAAAAAACACGGCTAAATAATGTTAATTATCACTGCACTTACCTGTAAGATGTTGGTAATCACCCACTAAACACAAAAAATCGGAGCACAGTGCGCCGTGCTCCAGACCGGACCGGCGAACCAGAGACGTTAACCTATGCAAATATTGTGCTTGAATGATGATAAGGTTCTACTCCAGGCGCATCGGGCTGGGGGTGGGTGGAGGGTGGCCGTTGCACGCGTAAATCAATCAATTTGCCCAACACCTCGAATGCGACGCCACGAAAAGTATATTCGTTTATTTATTTGTTTTAAACACCAAACTGAAGTGAACTTTAAGTTTATTAAATTTCCTCCTAACTATTGTGACACCAATTATGTGTTGATTCGACCTTTTCTTTCAAACTAAAAGTTTATTAAGTGTTTACAAACTTTGACAAAACTATTAGATTAAGCGTTTGTATAAGCCAGTAATTTTACAATTGAATTTTTTAATATCGGTAGAGAACGAAATTTGCAGTTTGCCAGCTTCGCCTTTGAAGTAGGAATGAATATTTTTCCGTTTTTCACCAGTAAGGTGCATTATGTAATAAGGGAACTTACTGTAATAATGATTATCTTCGTTTTCTATTGAAAATCGACTAGTACATTTTTATGGTATCTTTTACAAATCGAACAATAAGTTTGCCGGTTATAATGTATTTCCTTGGCTTGCTTTGTTGATAAAACTTTTCAATGTTTATATAATCTATATTACGTAGTTTTTATTACTTAATTATGTTTTTGACCGTTGTAAGCGTGCGAACGATAAACATGAAATTTTGGGGTTCCACATCGAGGTTCTTTTTTATTCTCTGTGGGGCAGTATCATTGTTGCTTAGTCCTAATAAAATCTAAGTGTTTCCACCATAATCAACAAGTCTTGATTTTAAAATAAAAAAAAAACAGATATCTGCTTACCTTCTCCGTGCGAAAAGAGGCCTTTGGTCAGCAGTGGGCACAGCCAGGCACAGCGTATAAGTGTAGGCTGATGGTGATGATTGATAATGATGATCATCATGGAGAGAATTCCATGAATTTTTTTGTACAAGTACTATAGTTAATTAAGAACATGGGATTATGTGACACAATCTATTGATATTCATTACAACTGTATCGTAGAAAACATGATATTAAGTACGATGTTAATTCAAGTTCATTTATTTGCATATGTATTATACATATAGACTACACGGTTGGCGCGGTGGTTGGGCAACTGACTGCCGCGCAACGTGTCGCGGGTTCGATTCCCGCACGGAACAACTCTTTGTGTGATCCACAGATTGTTGTTCCGGGTCTGGGTGTAATGTGTATGTTAACCTGAATGTTTGTAAACGCACCCATGACACAGGAGAAAATCCTAGAATGGGGCAAATTAAAAAAAAAATTATAGGTGTATTTTTTTTTTAATTTATTTATTTAGGTCAGCCAACGACTGTTTACACATCATATTACAACAAATCGGTTTAGAAACAATATGCATTTGCTAGTGTAACAATCAATTAAAGGCTAACACATCATGCTCAAGAGAATAGTTAGGTATTAGCCTAAGTTTAAATTATTAAATTAAATTAATAAACATAAAACACAACTATTAAGTTAACACAAAAATTAAATTATTAAACACAAATAATAATTTCCCATAAACAGAATTCTATTTAAGGTGTACAATGAAATTAGAGCGTACATTTTTTGCTAATGATATATAGTATGTGAACTTACAGCCTGGATAGTCATTATATCACTTCGTAATAAATATAAACTACATCATTTCATAAGTGTGGGAGAGCCATGCTACGGCACTCGACCGCACTGATACAACGGCCTTACAGATAACCGACGTGAAACAACGCTTGCAATGTGTTTCGTCGTGTGACTGAGGTTACAGGAGGCCGAATTACCCTTCCCTCCTCCCTAATTTTCCTAATCCTCAAATTTCTAATCCCTAAAAGGCCGGTAACGCACGTTCACACCTTTGGTGTTCCGGGTGTCCATGGGCGGCACCGATTACTTACCATCAAGTGATCCGACTGTTGGTTTACCGGCTCATTAAAAAAAAACAAATATATCAAGTCATAATAAAAGTTAAATAATTGTTGATGCATGCAACTACAAAATTAGAGATAAATGTTTTCGAGCACGTCACTTGTTACTTGTCTAGTACAATCAAATAACAAATTACATCGCACAATGAGAGTTCAGTACTCCTAAGCATTAGAAACTATGGAGTTAGCACGAACTTCCTCAACTACCTAAACTTATAATCACGCAATCGATGCAAACGACTGCGGTATCAAAAAGTAAAATACGGTACTCATCTTTTTGCAATATTATTATTGAAAGTAGCATGATAGCCGAATGGAATGGGGGAGTTCGTGATAATAATACCCCATAATAAAATTCAACAGACAATGCGCGGCTGCCGCATTCACAACTAAAACGGGGTGCCATCTTTAAAACTATGTCACTGCGCTGTCAAAAGTGACGTAAATCAACGTACCGTTGCTGTGATTGGTCGAATGTCGTTCGACGTCACAAGGGGGCCAGTTTTATTTTAATTTAGGGCCACTTTGCCGAGATTACCCTTTGTGTGCGTGACTTCGGGGTTGCCTTCATGACTGGCTAGTCATTTTTTAATCGCAGCTCATTATTTCTTTGTTTGTCTATTCTGGGATGCTTTTAGGGGAAGTTGTATGAGCAGAGAACTTCATTGTGCGCTGCATACAATTTGAACCGGAAGATGGGAATAATTGTACTGTTGTTGTAGAGTTTGAAAAAATAAAGTTGAATGTATATTTACACTGCCTCGGACGAACTAATCTATAGATTTAAATAGGATTTGGAATTTTGGTACTTTGTCTAAACTGAATTGGTAGTAAGACAATAGGCTTTTATGTTCCACTTACACACATTAAATGACTAGAAAAGTGGATTTTTTTATTTAAAAAGGATGTGCAAACTGCACTCTGTCACTATAGTACTCTGCCTGCCGCTTCAAAAGAGTAATGTTATTATTGTTACGCGTGTTCATAGGATTCACTGATGGTAGGTAAACTATTTAGTTACTTAAAACTGCTACAGGCGCAGACCGTATTTTTTTTTTTTTTTTTTTTTTTTTCGTCTTTGGCAACTGAGTCTCCACTACGGTGTTGTCGACTATACTGCCAGTGTCGAGTGGTGACGGCAGTTAAGACCGTATTTTATTTTATGTTTTACAAAGTCCCGGTAAATGTTACTTTTCTGACGTTTTAAAACGTCCCGCAATTAGATTTTCTCGTGTATTGGTTGCAACACATAATTCCATGTGCACATTATATCTAAACTAACAACAATGGTTTGTGAATGATATAAAAATTTGTTCTATGCAGGAATTAACCCACGATACTATGCGCATCTGCCGGTTGTGGCTGGGTCTAATCTTGTCTGTACGATTGACACAGTGGTTGTACGGTTCGTACACTTGCAGATTGTAGTTAATTATCGAAGTGTGAAGAGAAAAGAACACGAAGTTGTAGTTGAAGAAGTAAAGTTGTATTACTGATAGTTACACTAGTTCGTTGATATTGACTATTCCTTTCTCTTAAATAGTTTTTTGTTATCGTTGTAAAATGCACACTGGTCCGTGTGTGTAGCAAGCGTGTATTTATAATTAGGTAAAAAAACGCGCAAGTCGTACCGACTGCAGTGTCATCAAAAAGCATGTACAGTTGAAGACCGTACAGTGGTAGTTTAATAAAAGTCATTGTTTTACTATAATATTATTGAGAGTCACATGAACTAAGGGCGCATGTGTTGCACCTTTTATAATATAACCGGTTAATCAAAATTCTGTTTTGTTTTCAAAAAACACATTGCTTGACTTAGGAATTAAACCAGGCACCAACGCGGCGGTTAAGAATCCGTTTAGTAAGGTCTCTATATACCTGATCTTGTTGGTGAAATCAACTCAAAGAGAAATTTTACCTTCATTACTATTGCTTCCCCGTTGCCTTATTTTATTTTAAAGTGTCAGCATTATTAGTTTGATGTTCAACAAGCTTATAAGGTCCATCAGTGGCCCGCAATTTTATTTCATCGTCGGAAATTCTGCGGCAATATTTTTCATATTTAAAACACGAAAGTAGGACACAGATAAGTACTAGTACTTGCTCACCTATTGAAGGTTCCTGATGAAGTCTTGCCCAGTACAGTGCTATTTTCAGAATATAACTACCAATGATTGAGTGCTCCTAAAATTTATATAGAAAGAAAAAAATTTAAAACAATTTATTAGCTATATACTAGCCTCGGCCAGCGGCTTTACCCGCCTTCTCAGGATAAAAGTACTCCGGGTTTTATTCCACATTAAAATTTATCTCTGTCTATCTGTACCAAATGTAATTCAAATCTGTCCAGTAGTTTTAGTGTTAAAGAGTAACAAACATACATGTATACGTCTACAATCTTCAACTTTTGCATTTATAGATTACTAGCGACCCGCCCCGGCTTCGCACCGGTGCAAAATAAACCTTCCTTAAGAATCACTCTATATATTAAAAAAAACCACATCAAAATACGTTGCGTAGTTTTAAAGATCTAAGCATACATAGGGACAGACAGTCGGCGGATAGCGACTTTGTTTTATACTATGTAGTGATCAGGATATTATGTGCTTGCTTTTTGGATACTCTAAGGGTTGGTACGCTGCGTGGTGCCGGTAAAATATATGGACATATTTGTGACCACCCCTATTCTTCACGCAGAGTCGACTAAGTAACTATATATTTAACAGAAACCAGGCATCAACGCTCTCTGATAAACCTGATCCTGTTGAACAAACTGCGATCTCCGACCCGTCTTTACATTAAGGATTATATTTCAATGGGACACCATGGGGCGCAACCGGTTACCGCAACCAACAAAATATATACAGTGCTATAGAGAGAAATCTGGCGGCGTGACCAGCTCGGACGGCAGTATTAGAGGTCTATTTTGATCTTTGGTACTGTCTCAGTGTGGTGTGTGTGTTGTATGGTGCAACTAGAGGTATACAAGGCACCAGCGTCCACCAGCGGACACGATGGTGTTGGCCGTAATGAAGTCCCGGTAAAATATAACCTTTACAGTATTGCCGCCCGTCGACAGGACATTACGGTTTGCATTAAACCCCTCTTTTGTAGAGGAGATCCATAGTCCAGAAGTGGATGTTGAGGATGGTGATTATTATTATTTTTGTTTTTCCAGACTCTATTTACGATAAGTACCTAGTCTAGTAGGTAAGAGTAAGAAAGGGGACACATGTATTCTACTTTTTTAAATGGAATACATAAGTTTGAATAATAATAATTAACTGCCTAAAACCCAGTAATACTTTGCCCGACCCGGGAATCGAACCCGAGACCCCTTGCCCGGCAATCGTACTTGCGACCACTCTGCCAACGAAGCAGTGTCGGAATCAGAGAACAATGTTCTGAAAATATTTCATGTAAATACTTCCACCCCCTTTGGATAGTATTAAAATTTCAAACAGGTTGCAGGAATGTTAATTAATAAAACAATGAACATAGAACATTATTTATTGTTTACAGATAGTTTCATACATTAAACAACAATTATGCTAACAAACAAAATAACCGCGGCTTTTCACTCGTCCGTGCATCATACATACTTGGCTGTGGTTTAGACATTACGTACTCACCTAAATACCGGCCATATAATATAGAGAAGACAGAGCCTAATGCTTAATGTTTAGGTTCAGAGTAATCCAATGATCGGCGTCTATTGTAACTTTATAATGCGCAAAGTAGTAGTTGTGACTGTCCATTAAGTCTTCAGTTCGATTCGAAGATGCGGAAAATGTAATATAGCTATATTTTTAAAATTCTACATAATATAAAGTCATGAATTGATCTTGGCATTCACATAGTCCTCATTTGTTATAGGGAACTTCCTGACGTAGCTGATTAAGATGCAATTCTGTCAATAATCCATGAAATTACATTAGCCCTAATCGTAATGAAACTAAAAAAATAGCAGCAAAAGTTAAAAGTCTAAAGTCAAAATTATTTATTTCAATTGAACCAGAAAGGCACCTTCGAACGGCAACAAAAAAATTAAAAGTGAATTATTTGCTTATTCCACCATTTCTAATATAATTAATTTAGCATCGCTATAATTATTGCACAATTTAATACACATTCAATCGTCTTAATTTGTTATATTCATTCTACAATATATTAATAAACATTTATTGAAATATATGACATTTTTGTTATACATATATATAAATATACCTACTTGGAGAAATCATTTATATGTAAGTACTTATTGTAAACTACCACCAGAGCTAGAATATAAAGCGAAGACCTATCAGTAGAACAATGCATTTAACTATATAATATCTTATTATAAAATATTGTCGTAAGTACCTATCTTTTTGGCTTTTAGCTATACAATACCCACTTCTTAAAGTGTAATAGCATATATTTTTTTTTAATGGAAAGTTTTCATTTCCCTAGTAAGTACATATATTACAATTATGTCCACAAGTAGATGGTGTGTTCGACCTATGGTTGGGTCAGCTACTTACAGTCTACCTATGTTTGTCTGAGAGAGATCTATAGAAGTGTGGTGTGTGCAGTTAAAGTGTAGTAAGATTCAGGTATAGTAAATATTAGAATGAAGACGATTATACAAAGTCAATAGAAAATAGAAATCTAGTGACAAATTGCCAACCACAACCAGCTAACTATACGTGAAGGTATGTATTATATTTGCGAATAAATAGCCTTTAAAAATTTCATTTATCTGTATTTAGCAAATATTTGATTAAACAGTTACATTCTATACTTTATCAAGTAATATCAGAATCTATGTTAGAGGCTTATATTCATGAGCAGCATTCCGCGGGTCGTGGCATGCCTCTAGCACGGTTTGAAAGTAGTCGAGTTTCTCGTCAAATAATTACGTGATCAAGTCGAAAAACATAATAATTAATATCAGAATTATTATCATAGGAACTAATCTCTTAATTCGACAAGTAAAGTTACAAAATCAGAAAAAATATAACTGGATTCTTTTTTTAAAAAAAAAACAACAACTGCAACTGAGTTGTTTCGAAACTTAATATGACCAGTAAGGCACTTGTCCCACCGCCAACGAGAAAACGACTGACTATCGGCTGTTTTTAGCTCAAGAAACGTATATATAATAGATACATTTTTTTTAACTTTAGGGCCGTGGGGCCCAAGTGCACATTTTCTTTACAAAGATATTGTAAGGAGGATGGTTGACACTTCAGGTGATCGAAGGGCTGGCTACTACCTTGGGCAAAGGTTAAGCATTGCCATTCAACGTGGCAATGCTGCCAGTCTTTTGGGCACCCTACCTCACGGTAGCGATAAGGAAAATGTTTTCTTTGATGCTTTATGATTTATTTTTATTATTATTTTTTAAAGTGTAAATATTTTAGTTTAATTTTTTTTTTTATATATTTTAAGTTGTATAAATTATTTCTGTATTATGATACATTGTGTATAAACAAAAGAGATGCATAATATACGAATAGTTGAGCACCGACTGTTCATTCTGCTGGCGAACACTCGCAACAGCACTGTTGGAATTTGGAACTGTACGCCCTCACTTCCCGTTCTCGCTAACTCGATTCCAATTCTATATCTACTCGTTACTTATTCATCCTGACCGTGAGACAACTACCTCATTTCATAATCTAAAAATCCTTTGTTTCCTGAAGGATGATGAAAATAATCTTCATTATTTTCTTTTAAAACGTGGACAATGCTATATTGCGGAGTAAGAATGAGGTTTCCTATTTAATATCAACAAACTAAGAATTCCTAAGATTTCAAGAAAAATACTGCAAAACGAAATGAATAGAGACAGAACTTATTGGAATTTAATATGACGATAATAATTGCTTCATCGCGCTAATTGTTGATTGCGAACAAAGTATGTACCTAATTCACAAAGTTCTTCTATTTTGGAATTCTTGACAGCACGACCTCATGATATCAATGATGATACCCTACCTATATGTAATGATTGTATGTTATCTCAAAAAAGTGAACTTTAAATACTAAACAACAACTGAAAAGACAATAAATACTGATTCTTGCACATAGGTGCCGTTTAGGCCTGCTACTTTCTTCTAAATGATTACTTGATTTGTTTTACATAATGTTTTACACTAATTCTCTTACAAGAAGCCAGTTAAATTACAACGGAAAACGAACTACACAATACAGACTTTGGCACTAATTATAACTTGTTCTATAAATACAATTCGTAAATATTTTTCTCTATAGGTGCACTACGATTAATATTTCATCTAACGCGCGAATCAATCATTCTATTATACACATCAATTTAAAACTTCTACTTAATTTATACACGATTAACTTCATTACAATTATTAAAGAGATATCTTTATTAAACTTAGTTGCAGTCCTATATCCCTAGTATTCCTATTTAACGGAATACTGGTCAGTCAGGGTTGCCTTTAGCAAGACGGCATAAACAAAGCCCTGAACATCGGTGTCCTAGAGGAGTTGATCTTCTAATAAATCTTCTCTCGTCTTTGAGACAGATAAATGCAGCTAGTCTTTAGGTAATGCACTGTCGCTTTTTCCTCTAGAATATACCCTATACGCTGTTTTAGAGCCTAGCATTCTGTCCAGTAAACTATGTTTGGCTCTCCGCCTATGTGTTAAGACCTCTCGGCAAAGTTCGTGGAATACCTCCCCAACTTGGTTTACTTGTTCAGCAGCCGCTACTTCAGCGAAACTGCACTCGAAGTCCTTCGCAAGGATCTCGCCCTCTTCTGGACTCACCTGCGAAAAGTTAAATTTCATTAAGTCAAAACCAGATAAACGATAATTAAACAAATCTTTTGCGTGTATTTCGAATTGCACTCAGAATTGGGTGCACAAATATTGCACCCATAATATTATTGTTTAACCAAGCTTAAAAGCATTTATTTCAATTAAATCATAATTTGGCTCGTTCCAATTTGCATATTCAAGTGGAGAAGAACGAGAAAGAAACTCCGTTCGTTACTCTTGATAAAAAAGTCTGTTTTACAATGTCTCTGATATGTAGTCCATTATTGTACATGTAATTGAGAACAATGTAAAGACACGCTTGACGCAAAATACAAATTACAGAAGTCACTAAAATAAAGAGAAAAGAAATATCGTATAGTCAAACATGGTGCTCTCATATGCATACTGACATATAAAATAGTGCCTAAGAAAAAAATAAACTCGTTGTTTCAATAAAGAAAGAAATGCTCGATGCCACAAGAAAATTAGATTGCCTTCATCGGAATCAAAGTATTAAATTACCTATTATAGGAATCTGAACTAGGTACTGGCTACGTTTGAGTAAAGCCAAGTATTCTTATCTTTAAGATAATCGGTCAGTTTGTTTACACAATTCGTACTTAATATATATTTTAAATTTGCTTTCTTTAAGATCTAGTATGCTACTTGGTATTTTATTACAACATTTAATACGTATTATAACTCCATGAAGGATTTCTGTACCCTGGACAGTCTGAATTGTGGTATAGCTAACTTAATTTTGCCTCTAGTATTCAGATTGTGTCTATCGTTTCTTTTTTCGAACAATTGCCTATTTATTTTTACATACATTATGTTTTTATATATGCATTGATAGGCAGAGCACAGTTAAGATATTTAAAAAAATAAAATAAAACAGTTTACATGTTAAACCTTTTGTACCTGTCGATAAAAAAGTTAAGTCAAATGAATGCCTTGTGATGGACGTAATTCGAAACTCGATGAATTACGATTCAATTGTCCGTTGCATCGCATCGTATTTAAAATTGAATTATGACGCAATAATGTCAGTTTACTATTTCAGAAGACATGGATTAAAATGTGTTAATTTATTATTACGTTTATACAAACAACGGTTTTGTTTTTACGGTATAAAAGTTATTGTAGGTTAATGTATGTGTGCTTTCCCATATTCTGACACTTTGTCAGAATCACAAAATAAACATATTCACTATCTGAATAATTTAATATTTATGCTGACATGTTGTCATAAAGACAAATTAATATTTTTTGACACTAACAAATTTGTTAGTGGTTTTAAATTGACTAAGGAATACATGTTTATTCCTAAGAAATGTAAAGTTTTACTTGCTAGTTTGCTAGCAAATAGTATTAATTTAGTTTTAAGTAGTTTAAGTGACAAATCTATATTATCTAGACAATCTAATAATATAGAGATTAATTGTATAAATGATTTTACAAAGGAGACTCAGAATTTGACTATAAATGTGGGTAGTACTCCGGCTAACTTTTTAAACTAATGTCTGAGACAACAGAAGATAACCAAGTAAATTACACAAAAGTTTCATGCATTGATAAGTTATCTTCTGGCGGTATATTTAAGTCTGCAGCTTTATTAGCTATACATAAGAATAGACAAGACTCTGTGTTAACATTGTTTAGTCAAAATATGCAGGGCTTCTCATCTAAAGTTTTAGAAATTGAATTATTTTTAGAAAAATTTAAATATGATCTTGTTTGTGTAACTGAACATTGGCTGAAGGACTATCAAGTAAAATCTATTAATCTTGAAAACTATTGTGTTGGTAATTATTATAGCCGTCAAACCATGATACATGGTGGCAGTCTGATTTTGGTAAAGAATTCAATGAAATATAAGGAAAGGCATGACATTGCATCACTATCGATAGAGCACACAATAGAGTTGTCCTGTGTTGAGCTGGATAGGCATATTGTAGTATGTGTTTATAGACCTCCTATTTTACAAAACCTAAATATTTTTAGCTCAGTGTTGGAGGATGTACTGCGGAAAACGTGTTCCAATAGTAAGTTAACCATAGTATGTGGCGATTTTAATGTTGATCTCTTGGAGAACAACTCGAATAGTATTAATTTGTTAAGTCTATTTAAATCTTTCGACTTGTCTAATGTTTTCTTTGAGCCCACCCGAGTAACATCCACCTCGGCAACATGTATAGATAATATTTTTTGTAACTGTAATTATATAAATAAAGACATTGTAAACAGATTACCATCTGATCACAGTGGCCTGACAGTCAGTTTTAACACTACCACAACTGTACAAAAAAGGAAAATTCTATTTAGGCAAATTACAAATAAAAAAATTGAGTCATTAAACCACAACTTGAAAAATGAATTATGCGGCCAAATACATGCTAGTGAATACTCTAGTGAGATTTATGCCAAATTATTGTCCATTGTTAAAACACAATTCGATAAAATGTTCCCTTTAAAACGTAAAAACATTCAATGTAAATTTCTATTCTGTGACTGGGCTACACCGGGTATTCGTATAAGTAGGAAAAAGTTATTTGAGTTATATGGTATGAAACAATTTAATAATAGTGATGATTTTCGCAGTCATGTATCTAGATACTCGAAAATATTTAAAAGGGTTTGTAAGCAGGCTAAATCCCTGTACATTAGCAGTAAAATTAGGACCGCGAATAACAAAATAAAAACCACCTGGAACATAATTAACACCGAGACAGGTAGAAATAGATCTCCTAACACTGAATTTAATTTAAATACTGTAAATGGACGTATTAGTGCAGATTCGAAAGTTGCCCAGGAATTCGAGGATTTCTTTAAAAATATTCCGCTTAAAACTACGGAAGCGTTGAAATCATCACCAGCACTATCTATCGATCTTCTTAAAAGTAATGTCGAGGAATGTTCAACAAATTTTCGATTTCAATATACAAACCCCCTAGCAGTGATAAAAGCGTTTAAAGATATTAAAGTTAAGTCGACTGAAGATCTTTGGGGAATGTCAGTAAGGATGTGTAGATCTTTTATAGAGACTATAGCGCCTCATTTGGCATTAATTTTTAATAAAAGTGTAGATCAAGGAATTTTTCCAGATTTAATGAAACATAGTAAAGTAGTGCCATTGTTTAAATCCGGTGATAGTGCGGAACCTAATAACTACAGGCCGGTCTCTATCTTGCCAGTGCTCAGTAAAGTGTTTGAAAGATTGATGCTTACTCAGATGCTGCGTCACTTTAACATGAATACTATATTTCATGACCAACAATACGGGTTCACCAAGGGACGTTGCACGACTGATGCCGGGGTAGCACTAATTAAGCGGGTTTTTGCCTCGTGGGAAGAGGCACAGGATGCCATCGGAATATTTTGCGATCTTTCGAAGGCATTCGACTGTGTTGAACACGAGACACTATTGCTGAAGCTGGAACACTACGGCATTCGGGGTGTATCGCTGAATCTGTTAAAGTCATACCTTCAGGATAGGCAACTTAAAGTACAGGTAAACAAAGTAAACTCACAGGGTGCTGCATGTCTATGGGCGTACCGCAGGGCTCAATACTAGGTCCATTCCTATTTTTAACATATATAAATGATTTGCCATATTTATTTCAAAATGAACCACATATTGTATTGTTTGCTGATGACACATCATTGGTTTTTAAAATAAATAGACGAACAAATAATTATGACGACGTAAATAATGCTCTGATGAAGGTTCAACATTGGTTTACAATAAATAACTTAGTGCTAAACGATAAGAAAACGAAATGTATTAGATTTGTTCTGCCAAATGTTGGAAGTAAGGAATGTGACATATTATTAAACAGTCGGAAATTAGAATTTGTAAAAGAGACTACATTTCTGGGAATTACTGTAGATGACAAATTGCAATGGGGTCCTCATATTACATCTCTAGCGGGACGATTAAGCTCTGCAGCTTATGCTGTCTGGAAGATCCGACAGTTAACCGACATAGACACGGCAAGACTAGTGTACTTCAGTTACTTCCATAGCATCATGTCGTATGGCATTTTGCTGTGGGGACACGCTGCGGACACTGAGTCTATCTTTATCTTACAAAAGCGCGCCGTCAGAGCTATCTACAACCTAGGTCGTCGCGAATCTCTCAGAGAAAAGTTTAAGGAGATCAATATTATGACGGTTCCATGTCAATTTATTTATGAAAACATTATGTATGTTAGGAAGAACCTACAGTTGTTTGGTAAAGTGTCTGACAGACACCACTATCAAACTAGACATAGGGATAGACTAAGTCAGCCACTATTTAGATTGACAAAAGTACAAAAGTCCTTTATGGGATTCTGTGTTAAATGCTATAATAAAATTCCGGAGGAAATACTACATTTAAATGAGTCAAAATTTAAATTATATGTTAAAAAAACGTTATGTGGGAAAGCATACTACAAACTTAATGATTACATAGAGGATAAAAATGCTTGGAGGCATGCTGGTCCGGCTCCACAGGATAGCGAAAAACATTGATGTTCCAATGAGTTCCAATCATGTCAAATACAGCCATTTTGTTCAAATGTACACTGTAAAACTTTATATAAGTATTGTAAATGTGAGAGCCCTGTAACTAACTAAATTAAATTAGACTAGTAGAATGCATGTGTGTCAGCTTGGAGTTGTCATGCTCACTCAAAAGTCTCATTGGCAGTGGCACGGGCAGTGGATCGCTCGATTCCCTATAACATGGTCGAGTTGGGCGGTGCTGGTGTACGTGTCATGTTCGTGAACGGGCGCTGTCAAATGGGACTGGTCAGCTCCAGACTGTATTAAATTTGTTGTCCTCAAGGTTATTTTCTTTTTCCGTCTCCTTGACCAAATATTGGTATTACATTGTTCTCACATTATTGAACTCAACGGAAGAATGTAACCAAAAATTGTATTGTGAACATGATTGAAAAAGAGTAACCTATGGAGTTTCTTGCTCGTTCTTCTCCATAGGAATCTACACTTTGGAACGAGCAAGTAGCTTCACTAGAGGACTGACCTACAGACTGACATTTTTTTTTTCTTATTTTTTCTTATTATTTAATATTTAAATATTTTGTATTGACGTTCAAAAGTGCCTTACTGGTCTAATTGAAATAAATGATTTTGACTTTGACTTTGACTTTGACTTTGTAGGTTTATTCAGCAAGTATTGTTAGTTATTAATCTTATCTTATCTTATCAATATCTAGTTTGAGATTTCCTTATAAGTCATCAACATCCTTTCCTTTATCCTTAAGATTATCGTACCAAGACTAGGATTTCTTCATTAGTCCACGACTAATGAAGTGAAGTGTATTAGTACAAAAATATTTAAATACACAAACATACAATATCACACCTAGATCCATATCAACAATAGGGATGATGACAGGGTATTCATACCCTGTCATCATCCATGAAAATTAAGATTATAATTAGTCCGTAAGTAAGGTAATGAAAATATTAGACATATATTTTTTTATTTTGTCGTAAAATAAAACAATACTTAGATAAAACGAATCAAAGTTTAGGAGTGGGGGTTAAAACGTCATTTCTACGTATAAAATGTACATAGAAGTGACGTCACGCGACATTTCAAATCAATATATCGTCGAAAGTAATCGTTTCTATGAGAAAATAAAAAATACGTGTGTAATGATTTAAAACAATCTACCAGACGGATATTAAAATAAAAATTAGGCATCTACCCTATTGTGGATTGCACGCATAATATAGTTCCGTTCGGAACACCTCAAGATTCTGCTACAGGCAGACTTTTATGTCGTGGGACGTGGAAAGTATATAATAAAAGCTGGGAATAAAAACAATGGCCAGGCAATGAAAATTGAAAGGTGGTGTTATATTCGAGCATTTAATGAATTTAATTTACCTGTCTCAGGTGTACCATATCGGCTTTATTGCCGACTAGTGCGAGTGGTATTTCTGGCTGTAGGCTCTGCTTTGCTCGACGGACATAGTTGAAGGATTCTCTGTCTGTGATCGAGTACACCAGGAACAGACCATCCGCCCACTGGGCTATCTCATTACCTGGCAACTCATCTAGACTCTGAAACAATATCTTATATCAACATTGTTATGGACACTTAAAAAATTCTCAGTAATAGCACGGAGTCTGGAATTGCGCCCGGTATATGGCAATAGGCTCACCCCCTAAGACATGAGACTCATAACATAAATAGTGAAAAGTGGGTGTTACATTATACAGTGGCATAATGTGCACCTCTGCCTACCGCTTAGGGGGTAAAAGGCGTGATGATATGTTATGTTATGTTTATGTGTTATGTATGGACAGATTAGTTCTACTTTTTAATATTACGACGGTGACAATTAAGCACACGGCCCACCTGATGGTAAGGTTTTCTAGTGTTGAAATATTCTGAATAAATATTACTGCAACACGTTACGCAGTAGCCTTTTTTTTAAGGGGGGAAAATCATCGAATGACTTCTCCCGCCTGAGTGAGGCGGCAGGGAGTGTCAGACTCTTACTGACTAAAAACCACCCCGTTCCTTCTCCTGCACGTCGAGCCGGAGCCCCGGTTACCCGTTAGGTTCTCCACGACTCCGAATCGGCATCGGCCATATTGGGCCCCATCTGTGGTGGTCTGATGGCTCTTTGAGGCGCGCGCAGAACTCGACGCGCCGTACGCTCGGTTCTGTTACTGGTCGGACGGGGAGCCACCCATGCTCGCCGTCCGCAGGCCCGCTCTTATGGTGGCCGGAGATTGTCCCGCGATCCCCGACGCCCGGTGTGTCCTTCGCGATGGCTGGGTTGCGAGGAGGCAGCGCTTCGCTGCCTCACGCGTCCCACCTCCTCCTTAGCTAGCATGACTGCTTCGCAAAAGCAGGAGACGGCATCCCAGTCCCCCTCGCTCCGCATCATGGCCTGCACTAGGCCCGGACGCGAGAGGTCGCCATCGCTGATCACTTCGATCGTTCCACCGTGTCCTCAGGGTACGCAGTAGCCTAACTACGTAAGCCTAAAGGACGCGAGTTAGATAAGAAGTTGTATGTCATCAGGCTCACTTTAAGATCAACTGCTGGACTATTGTACTCCTCCTGTTAATACTGTTTACATACCTAAAAATATCTAACCTACAAGAAGGTTTATCGTAATCTCCATACTTTGCAGACGAGGTGGAGGTTCTTGCGGAGAGCGTTATAGCCCTCGGTCGGTTCTTACGACGCGACATCAGCGAAAAATGTATATTCTATTCCGCGGTCGCCACGCGACTTGGTTTACAATATTTTTTAACTAAACAGAAGATCTTGATCTTCAAAAAAATTATACAAATTCGTACAAGCACAAACGGTTAAACTCCATTAATGTTACAATTAAAATAAAGTACGACTTTTACAGCTGTTGTAAAATATTTAAGCTTAAACAACAGCACATCAGGTTACCCTAAATTGATACTGTTAGGGTAGTCAGAATTTCAACTTTACAGCAAAATGATAAGACTAATTTTTGTTTAATTATGTTCAAGGTTGTTGTATAAAAAATGTATAATTTAGTTACAAAACATATTATAACAGTGTCCAACTACCGGGGTATGATGCCAAGATGATGCGTCATAAGACGGAATACCGGCTCACTGCTCGTGTCCCGACCGCTCCACTAAGCGTAACTATGACAAATACGTGTTGGCAAACGAATTATTTGTATCAATTAATTAATTATTGTTTGAACACGCTGCCGTTTAGCGTGATAGACGACACGAATGTTGTCAGTTTTTATAAATTTCATATATATTTTTCTTAGGTACAGGAACTATTAATCTGAATACGAAACTTCATAGTTTTTTGATATTTCCTTCTGCAGTTCCAATTGAGTATTCGTTTTTTTTCTGTTAAAGAACCCAAGAAATACCTGACATATCTATAATATTTCTCCGGCCGGTGGCTCGCCACCATGGATAGGGCTCAATAGTGCTGATGCCGATAGGGAGATAGGGAGCCGCAGAAAACTTAACGGGTTACAGGAGCTCCGGCTCGAACTGCAGGAGTAGGAACTGGGTGGTTTTTAGTCAGTAAGAGTTTAACATTAAGGCGGGAGAATGCCATTCCATGATTTTACCCCCCTAAAAAAAATATCTACAATATTGTTAAATTTTCTTCGACAAACGCTACGCTACGCAATGATTATAGAGGTACATAATATTTTGTACATATTTGTCTGGACTTTAAAAGAGACGGTCCTCTTAGTTTGTTTCGGTATTTCGTTTCAGAGTAGTCAGTTAGGAAAGTCGGCCCCTACCAGTTGTTTTAAAAAAAGTTGACGTGTAAAAGAGCTGCCTTGTAGCTTATTTGCAGAAATAAATTCACTTGTTTCACTTATTTCACTAGTTTTACATATATTGATACAATTTGTGACAAAAGACAGTGTCAATTCCATACATTTTATATGCTTCAGCATAAATACCGTAGTAACGCAGATAACAGCCTCCCGAAATCGACTGTAAAGCTACCGAAATCCCCAAATCCCCAATTTCAAAATCATTAATTTCTTAGGCACTTGTAACTCGTCTGGTGTTACGGGTGATGTCGCTTGCTTACAATCAGGTGATCCGTCTGCTCGTTTGCCACTGTAGGTATGTACTTATGTTATGTAAAAGTTGACTTTTCTATTCACTTGATTGGTTAACTTTGTTTGGGTCGACATTGACAATGATAATAGGTCAATTACCTTAGGGCACGTATCCAGAATTTCGAACAATATCGGCTCGCCGTCCAACAAAGCTTCATGCTTATATTTGCTATCTGCAATGAGAATAAAATATTAGTTTGGCCTCGTTGGCCAAGTGGTCGCAATTGTTTACTTATTGCGCGTCGTGCTTAAATATCGTGCCATCTCTGTCATTTCACAAAGAAGTAGTAGTGACAGAACTATACTTAAGCGTGACTTAAAATAGAGTAACGTTTCAGTATTCGGCCATTAGCAACACATTTGCGGTACAGAAAATGAAACTAATTGGTAACAATATTTTCTCTTCATCAAAAATACCAAAATAATATCATTAGTAAGTAAAAATCACCTTGTTGATGGTCGTACTCGCCGATGTACCTCTTCGTCAAAAACCGGACTGTAAGAGCTGAAAAAGAAACATGAAACATTTATTTAATTATTATTACAAAACAAATAAGATTTATATGATTATTTTGGCAATCGAATTTTGCACTTAGTAACACATTTTTACGATACATTTTTATTTATTAAGATTGCAGAGTTACTGAGTGATTGACAGATAACGCACAGACGAGACTAGGTCGTAAAACCTGAGATTTGGCAAGCTGGCCATTAGAAGTCTAGGAAAGCAGTAAGCACTAAGAGATAGAATACGCATATTCCAAATCTCACTCAGAAAAAACTATGATTATTTTCCACCTTCATATGAAAATGCAGTACAAGTCAGCTTTTGATAATATTAGGCAAGTACTATATAGTTTTTCCGGGAAATTCACGTAGCACGAAGTCTAGAGATGTATAAATTTTAACTTAGGCGTCCCAGCTAACGCAGACGACAACTCCGGGGGTAAAGAACCGCACGACGATCTTCGGCCACCGTAAGTTTTGGTCTGTGGACGGCGAACAAGGATAGTTCGCCGTTCGCGTTTCCGCGTGCCTCAAGGAGCCATCAGACCACCACAGATGGGGACCAGGACGACTGATGCCAGAAGCGGAGCCGCGGAGGACCTAACGGGTTGCCAGGACTCCAATTCAGAAAGCTGGAGTAGGAACGAGGTGGTTTTAACCAGTAGGAGTCTGATACTCCATTTTTCCAAATCCGGACGGGAGAAGTCAATCCCCCTCAAAAGAAGGCATTCCGTGAACGGGAATATTTAATGTTATTTTTAGTCGTAATTTAAAATTATTCAAAATTTTTTTTCTATCTTCAATAATTAAGTTAAAATGGTCTAATGAGACGACTTCTTTGAGGCTTCTATCTCTCCTAAAATGCACCCCAATAGCCCTTAGTCAGAATGTATGGTAATAGGTACCTCATAAAGGATTATGAGGTAAAAATTAGAAAATTTTGCAGAACTCGCAACTATCTTAAATTGATGTTTATTTAATGATATTCCCTTAATACAACGAAGGCTGAAAAAATTAAAGCTTACCACAAAAACTAACATTCGTTAGTCATTTATCTTCGTGTCAAAAACCTATTAAGTGACTGAAGATGTAAAAAAAAATAATACTATAAGATGTTAAAAAATACAAGCATTAAAATTTAGTTGAGAACAAATACCTACTCGTGAATTCGTACGACAGTTGTGTTATGTTACATCCGGATTCTATTTTCCCGCGGCCCTGCACTCGAGGTCACGGTCTTACGTACGAATTCACTTTCGCAATATATTAGCTTGTTCATAAAACACCAATAAAATCCATACAAAATGAACGCTAATTTTCTGTTCAAAAACGTAAGCCGAGGAAGAAAAGTTTAATTATTTATCTGTGGTACAACTGACATTTCATTTACGTGAGCTTATTCTCAATTAGTGGAACAAGTAGAATGGTAATTAAGTCTCTTGCAGTATGATTGGAATTACTTGCTATCAACATACCTTGTATTTAAAATTGGTATGTTTAAAAACTACAAGTGGATGTATGTACCATTTAAACTATGCACTAACTATAGGCCTTCCCTTCAAAACGTAATTAGTTGCATCTTACATTGAAAACGGAATATACCGATTTGTATAGGTACCTGAAGGGGCTCTTTGAAGTTCTTTAAAAACAAGGTAACTCGTTCAAATGCCAAATAGGTTAATGCTCCGGTCAAGAGACAGGTTCAGACATAAATTGAGTCAAAGAAATTGGCAATCGCCTCACAGAGTGGCGGGCGGCGCTTGCAGCGATATCCTCCAATGTCGTTCATTGAACTACAACACTACCATAAATCTTCCACGCTGCTAATTACTTCAAACTTCTTGTTTTTCTAATTATTTGAAGTTTATTTTAAATCGATTTATATTTGCTATAAAGCATTTCCATTATTTTAAAGAGGCAATGCACGTAGGTTATCTACCAAAAGTTTTAATACCAATCTTCTTCTTATTATGGTGCCAATTTATCCCTGAAAGTTGGCCGTCAGCTTTTTCAATTGGTCCTTGTCATTGGGTAAGCGGAACAGTTGTTCCACAGAGTTGATACCGGTCCATTCTCGATTCTTGCGAAGCCACGACTTTTTCTTTCGCCCGGCGTTTGTCCTCCCTTACATCATTATAAGATGAAGCAGCATGTATCATGTCTCAGTACGTAATCTTAGGCGTTTTGATGGTTTGGATCATTTTGCGTGGCATGTGGTCACGCTGGAGCTTACCTGGAGCTGGAGGACGCTATCGTTCCTGACCTTTTGCGTCAAACTTATGCGCCACATCCGACGGTAACACCACATTTCAAACGCCTTTGCGTCTAATGCTGTCATTTTTTAAGATCTATGTTTCGCAACCGTACATAAAGACAGACTGGATGTAGTACAGTAGCAATCTAGTCAATAATAATATTTTTCGAAATGTAATAGGAAATAAATATTTAGTAAAGATTCATTGCTTGAATGGAGCATTTTTAAGGTTAAAGATTTTGGCTGAATCCACTAATGAGGGTGATCAGAGGGGCCACAACAGGGGCTAGTATAGCATATTACCGTTATAGTCTAAAAACTTGTGAAAGCCAGGCTGATTGTCCTTATAGGGCCTTACATCACTAGCGCCACCTCGGAAGCCAAATCGAAAGCCCTCACTGAGCATGAGAACACTCTTTGGCTTGAGCAGTTGAATAATGAGTAGCGTTATCTGAAGAGAATGAAAAACGTACTATTATGAATATTTACTAGGTCAATAGATTTCAGGAAGACAGCAGTGTAGAAAGCAGCCCCACTCATCCCGCGGGTGTACCAGGATCCAACTAAGGAACCATATTATGTTTGACTGAGAGCAAGCAAACAGCACAATCAGATAAATCTGATCAATGGTACTGCGACCTTCAACCCGCTGGCCAGGCATGGAGATTATTGCCTCATGGTTTAGCAGTGGACTGTCATTGGCTGTTAATTCATGTATGTTTGTGTAAAAAAATATTCTTATTCTTACGCTCATTAAAATAAATGCAAGTAGTCATACGTCGTTTGTCATTCAGTACATCTGCCAGCCAGTATTTATTATTGGAGCAGTTTCCTCCATGTTAATACGTTTTTAACTGGTATTTCTACGAAACATTAGGAGCATACGTTTAGTACAATGTTTCTTGTTTTTCAAACAATGTGTGAAGCACGAAGGATTCCGTTTCATAATGTTGTAGGAAATATGTTTACATAACAACTGTTAGTATGCTCGAAACATATTTGTACGTTGAGGTAACGTATGGGCTTTCTTTGTGATTCATTTTTGTTTAAACTTTGACTTTGTATTTATTTAAATAACTAGTTGTTGTTGTGTTGGAGTCTGAGTGGGTGTTGTTGTTTCATGTTTCATGTGGATAGTAATAGAAGAAAATTAAATAGTAAAATAAAAATATTTTTAAAACATAACCGTTCATTTTTAAATACCATTGGTATTTAATTCAATTCTGTTTGGAACTTAGAAGAGGTTACGTCATCAGTATTATCTCACAGCAAGTAGTTTTAATAATCGTTAGGTTATAGAATTTAAATTATTTCAACAACTGGTTTCTGCTACGGCTGCAGCTACGAGAGCTACGGGTGGCGTAGCACTAAGGTCTCGTAGGCCTCGTAGCACACGCGCTAACAACACCCAACACAAACTACTGACTCATTTCTTCATTCAATTTTAGAATTTCTTACAAAACAGTAATGACCATTATACACTATCAAACATAATTAACCGATAGCAACTTGATATGCTGGGGTCTTACATTGTCAAACTAGGACATATGTTTAGTAAAAAACGAATTTCGTTATTTTTACTAATGTTATAAGTACGACATTACGGTGTACATAAATCGAGATTATCTTTGATTTACGCCATAAGGGGTTGACTTAAAAACAAAGTTTTGAATCTAGAATAATTTGCAAGTTAGGCAATGAAATAGGCTATTTTTTTCTATTCATTACGCGAACAAGGCCACTGATAAAAGCAAGCAAAACTATAAAGTAAAAGATCTGAAGAAGCGGCACGTCGATCTGCATATTCTGATCCCTAGACATTCAGAACGGCTGACTGATGACGTCAGAAGTCATGTCATCACGCTCATCCATATGTCACCACCTTTATGCTACATATTCGAAGCATGCTATTGTAGTGTACGATACTTTCAACACGTCTGTCAGGTGTCTCAATACTCTCACTAAAATATTACGAAACGTAAAGCTACCCCGAATAACAAACGACTAGTTACGATTACAGCATCGAACATAGTACCTACCTATTAATTAATGTACGGACGATTTTTTGCAAAAAAATTAATAGATTTTGCAAAATATTTTCAGTAGTAGCACGGAGTCTGGAATTGTGCCCGGTATATGGCATTAGGCTCACCCCCTATTACATGGGACTCATAACATAAATAGTGAAAAGTGGGTGTTACATTGTACAGTGGCATAATGTGCACCTCTGTCTACCCCTTCGGAGATAAAAGGCGTGATGTTATGTTATTTAATTTAATGATAATCAAGAATTATATGTTTAGTGTATGGTCCAACTCCTATTATTGCAATCTACCTGAAAGGATATTTCACTAATTTTCGAAAAGCGTTAGGTAAAACAACTTGTGCCGCCCGGGTATTGAGTCTTGTCTCATGCGTACTTCAGAAATATCGTAAAATTTGTGTAAACGCCATTTTTAATTATTTTTTTTTGTGAATTAAAGCTATCTGATATAGATTTTAGGGTCAAACAAAAACAGATTTTATTAATATTAATTTAGGTTCAAAACTTGTTGATACAGTTTATTTACACATTTTAGTATTTTTAGGAATAACTTTACGATTGACTAAATAGTCACAACTATATGAACCAGTGGGAAACGATGATTGATGATTGTGACATAACTAACGTTGTTAAGATGTATAGAATAGCCAGTTTTAATGTTATCTTCATAGATAAGGACAAATACATTTTTTATGCATTT